GTCCAAGAATCACAGGGATGTATTTCAAAGAAAGAAAACTTTCGCTAACTATCTTAAGGCTGTTCATCAAATGTTAAATGCCTTCAGAAAAGCATAGTTCATCTTCATCATTAAATAACAGAAAAGGTGGACAAGAATCACAAAATATCATTTGCGCAGACCTTGAGCACGAATTTATTGCTGTAATATATCAAATGACCCCCATCCGCTCCTAAGAGACAATAAACAGCAGTTCTTGGGTTGATACTAAACACATCCTCAAAGAACCACCCTCAACTTGTTGACTCAAATCAATAAAAACATAATAAATGTGAGGTTAGCTTGACGAAAGACATGTTGAGTAGGATGCTAGTCTATCCCAGGCAACCAGAAAATCAGTTCATTGAGAAGAGACAAAACTATCATGGAAGAGAAAGTGTAACTGGGCAAGGGGGAAAAAGAAAAGGATGCTCCAATGAAACTCACTTGAGGTGGCCTCTTGTTCAAACGCAAACCCACAGCTTCCAGCTCCCTCGTCAGTATTTGCCGATGGCCCTCACTCTGCCAAAGTTTCAAGAAAATATCAAACAAGTGCAACGAGACTATAGTAAACAAGGATCGAGGCAGGCTGCAAGTTGAAAATGTGAAGTGTAAATTGCAAATCACAGTCCAACCAACTGAAATTACTTGCGAGGCAGGACAACAAGCACAAGGTACAGCCGAGAACAAATTCCAACACATTGATATTAGCCCTCCATGCCAAAAGGGCAAGAGAATATAGTCGATATATAATATAAAAAAACAGGAAGGCATATCAGGACAAAAAATTTCATGCAGAAAAGTTGCAATTAATTCTTGATTGGGTCTCTGCTATAATCAACATCCTAGGATGCTCTTACCAGCATATGCAGTTTAGCTGATTACGTCATGCTGATTAGAGGATCTGCTAGATGTTACATGATGAGCATCTGCTAGATGTCCCTGAGTAACATTGCTTGTTAGCCATCTGAAATTCATCCTTTATCCAATCTTGGTCTATGGGAGTTATTCAAATTAATTTATAAAACCTCCACTTGAGATTATGTTTTCAAGATTCAGCTCTTTGCTTAGATTGTTCCATGCAGTCATTGACACAGTGCAGGGATTTTACCCAAATAACAAAAATAAAACTTGCTGCTGCCTCTTATACATACATATCACTTACTTTGGAGGCATCAAGAACCATCAATACGATGTCGGAAGACTTTGCAACAGCAATAACCTGAGAAATTTCCATTAACATTCAGCTGAGCCCACAAATACGGAAAGTACAATCATGTAGCAAAATGGAGATCTGATCTAGCTTAACAGTTAAAAATTGAACGGAGAGCATAAGCTATCCTTCATGAAAATTTTACTGATATACCTGCCGACCCCGTCCCTTGCCTTCAGAAGCACCTTCTATAATTCCAGGAAGGTCCAACAACTGAATTTTAGTATCGTTGTAATGTACAATTCCAGGGATGCAAGTAAGAGTTGTGAACTCATAAGATGCAGCTTCCGAATGTGTGCCAGTTAACATAGTTAAAAGTGTCGACTTCCCCACACTACACATAAAACATCAGTAGAATTTTAAAAGGTTTGCTTCGTAAACCATGCAGAAAAGGATTAAATCTGCACCAAATAATATTGATGATAGAGAACCTTGGAAATCCTATGAGGGCCACACGCCCATGGCCATATTTTGTAACTTCAAAGCCCTCTCCAGCTCCACTAGAACCCTGATAAAACATTGTGAAAGCCAATCGGTAAATGACCCGACTCTAACCAGCTGCAGGACAAAGTAAATCTAGCAGAAAAAGAAGAAAACTGACGAAAGCAAATGACTTCAGAAAGTGAAGTTAATAAAGTAAAAGTGAATTTACTTCTGCTACGGCCTCTATATCGAACTCATAAACAGTAAAAAGTAAACCATGGGTTTTGTTAATCCTCTCTCTACATGGAAGTCTAGGCTAAATGAATCTGAACCATTCCGGATATATGTAGGTGAAACTAAAGAAAGAAATCATCATACTTTCGGAGGCTCCAGTAACTGCGTCCTCAGCTTTGCTATCTTCGCCTTGAGCTGACCAAGATGATACTCTGCACATTAAAAACCCGAATTCGAATCGCACATTCCATAATGCATTCCACAAAGAAGGAAAAAAAAAGAGAAGAAAAGGACAACAAACAATAAATAGGACTAACAATGCAATGACCAGCAGATTTCCGGTGCGCAATGGACAACAATACAAACCGATAACACCAAAAATTTAAGCGAACAGAGTTAAGAGACGGACGAGATAACACGAAAAGTTTGAGCGAACAAAGTTAAGCTCAAATTATACATAATCCGAAATTCATGCGTATCGACAAGGTTCAGTACATACGCAACAGAGCAGAAAACACACAAAAAAACACGAACCTGTGGCCTTATTCTTCTGTGTCCGGGCCATCTCGGCCTCAATCTCCTTGATCCTCTCGATGATCCCCATTGCTCAAAGGCTAAACAATCTGCGGGACTCAAAGAAGAAACGCGCGCTCAGGGAATCGGAGCATCCGCAAAGAACCGAGGAGCAATCACGGCTCTCGACGCCGGAATCATCGAGCGAGCAAGCAAGCAACCGAAGCTCGTACAATCATCAGTAAAAGAATCGATCGCTCGAGAACATTCAGCACATACCTCGAGCGCCCTTATGGCCTCCGGATTCTTGCTCGCGAGCAGGTGGAGTGAGCTTCGCAAGCACGGTGGGAGATTGAATCGCGAGGCGGCGTCAATGGAGCGAAGCTCCGCGAAGCATGGATGGCGACCAGAGAGAGAGAGAGAGAGAGAGAGAGGGAGGGTGGCTTTGGGAGGAGAATTGAGAGTGAAGAAGGAGGAAGAGGAGGAGGAGAAGAGACGAGCGAGCGTTAACGGGCCTGGGCGGGCTCTGGCCTGTTTTGGTGGTGGGCTGCGCGTTATGGGCTGGTTCGGGCCCTATTGGGCCAGTTGATTGGGCCCGTCTTCTTAACCCGAGGCCCGATTCGAGAGAGCTCCCGCCCCAGGCCCGCCCATGTTCCCCGCCAGAAGCCCGTGGGCTTCTTTTTTTAAGTGCTCGAATGGGGGGGAATCCGGAGAGAGCTAATCGGGTGCAGTCGTTACACGTGAGCCCCAACTCATATGGACCGTTCGATTGGATGATGCTCGATAACGGAACCAAACTCATCTATCGGTATCTGTGAGTCGGCTATCACGTGTATTGGGTGCATATAATTATTTTTCGGTTAGAATGGCGTGGGCTTTTTTAGGGTATTTTTGATTTTTCATTTATGAGTTCCGTTTAGACCTGATTATGTGCTTGAGCGGTCGAACAAGTTGGACCGGTCCATTCTCGTCATTAACGCTAGCCCATCTTACATTGCAACTCCGCGCTTGCATCTACATAAATTGGGTTTTATGCGTGCACTGCGCTAATGTACGGCATTTCCGCTGGACGAAGAAAATATTATTCAACATTGTTTGTTTTTTTTATAGCTGTACAGATCCTTGTTCATAAAAGGGAAAATTTCAATTAAGGACCCTAATTAGAGTCTTTTTCTCAAAAAAGACCCAAAGTGGACATAGTGTCAAATAAGGGTCCGAAGTGTCCAATCAGTCTCAAATAAGGACCCAAAGTGCCTAATTAGTCTCAAGTAAGGGCCTGGGTTCGCCGACCGGTCAAATGCTCACCGGCAGGCGAGTGCGTTACTGTTCCGGTGACCGGAGCGAGGGCATTTTCGTCTTTTTCTTTTTAATTTTTTTTCCTTTTTCTGTTTTTTTTTCTTTTCCTTTTCCTATCTGTTTTTTTTTCCTTCTTCCCTCCGGCGGCCATAGCCGGAGCCGATGGAGGTCGCCGGTATTGGGCGAGGGCCACCCTCACCTAGGCTGGCGAGGGTCGCCCTTGCCTAGGCTGGGTAGGCGAGGGCAACCCTCACCGGACCCTCGCCCGCCTAGCCTAGTCAAGGGCCACCCGACGCCAGCGTCGGGCAAGGGCGAAGGTGGGCGTCGCCGAATCTGGCGAGGGTGGCCCTTGCCCGATGCCGGCGAGGGTCGCCCTTGCTCGATCTGGCAAGCGAGGGTTGCCCTCGCCGGATCTGGCGAGCGTCACCCTCACCCGCCCAGCCCAGGCAAGGGCCGCCCTCTCTCGACGCCGATGAGGGTGGCCCTCGCCCGACGCCGGCGAGAGCAACCCTCGCCTGAGGGCGGCGGAGGGAAGAAGGAAAAAAAAAAACAGAAAAGGAAAAAGAAAAGGAAAAGTAAAAAACAGAAAAAGGAAAAAAAAGAATTTTTTTTAAAAAAGACGAAAATGCCCTCGTTCCAATCACCGAAACAGTAACGTGCTCGCCGGCCGGTGAGCATTTGACCAACCGCGCGAACCCAGGTTCTTATTTAAGACTGATTAGACACTTCAGGCCCTTATTTGACATTATGTCCACTTGAAGTCCTTTTTTGAGAAAAAGATCATACTTGGGGTCCTTAATTGGAATTTTCCCTTCATAAAATAAAAAAATTTCAATGAACATTTTCTTATTCCTCCAATGACAAAAAAACGAACTGTGCATTCAAATTTTAGAAAAAGATAGTAAGAGAAGGATAAAATTCGACACTTACAATTAAGGATTTCAAGTGCAGTTTCCAGTGGAAAATTGATAGTTCCCTCCACATTTCACGTTTTTGACCTTTTTCTTTGGAAATTTTTTACAGTTTCTCCCTTTGAAGCCAAATTGCATGGAAATATCAAAGTACTCTATAGACATATGTGTACTGTAGATATTTCAAGCTCTTCGGGTAAGTACCGTCTCTTTTACCTTCTGAAGATGAATTTCTAATTACTCTCTTTGTCAATGAAACCGAACAGGTAAAGTGTAAGCTAGTAATCCCACATTGCTAATAAACTATGCTCGGATGCACGCGCTGAACTCATCGGGAACTAAGCTCAGAAATTAGTCCCCAAGAACGTTCTTGCAGAGTTAAGCTCGTTAAATTGAGTTCCCAAGAGGAGAGAAATGATTATAACAGTCAAAGCATACGACATTTATCTAGTGGCATACTAAGCCACGTCAAAATAAAAGGTCAAAGCCTAGGTCTTAAGTCTCTCAAACTTACTCAAGCTAAGCCTTAGTATTTTTGGCTCCCATCTTCATACAGAATACAGATTTACCTGCATATCTAGCTCCGCGGCTGAAATGTTCCTATGATCACGTGCGTCGATACCATAACGGATGACGAACCCCACATCAGACTCGACATTTCGACCCACCAGGTGAATCATGATTACTCATCTAAATCAGGAGAGACCAACAGTTACATACTTACATATGGTGATCCGTCTGATTGCACTAGCTCAAAGTCTGAGAACTTGGCTACTTCGGGGGGGTTTTTATTCAAAGTTAGACAAACTAAACCTGTTTTATTTACAATGGCTACAAGTAACCTGATCTGGTCCCATTTACACTTGCAACACAACCCACTGACTTGCTCGTGCTCAGATTTGGTGAAGCCTGAGCATGCAACTCGGCTAGTTCTCTGACCCGCAACAAGATCTGAGCTGGAATCGGCGCTGACACATGTTTCCTTGGATTCATCTGGAGCATTCACACAAAACAAACAATCCATTTGATAACTGAACTGTTTCTGGATGCAAGTAGACCAATAAAAATGCCTCATAGGCATGGCAGGTCATATAGTATAACAACCTCAAAGCGAACCCAAATCCCCAATCTAACATCCATGTGAGATATTGGGAAGACATGGAGAAAACTAGAAATTGCTTACCACTTTATCTGCAGGTGCTGGTGCAAAGCTAGCCTTCAGCAAGTTTCTCCATTTGTCCTAGATAACACATTCTACTCTTAAGGGAACCAAAAAGGAGTACTCTAGTTTTTAAACCAGACAAGGGGAGTGCATGAAATACCTTAAGATCTACAGAGGTACGGTATGAATAGGATGCAAAGGCAAGCCGTTTGATCTCAGACCACCTCCCAGCTCCATACCTTGAAACGCCTTCTACTAGTCTCATCACTTCTGCAAGAGTCCAAGCTCGATGATGTTTCCTTCTTATTCCACCTTTTGCTGTTGGCACGGTAACTATATTGTCTTTTGATGCATCATCCGATGAATCTCCATGCTTCGCCTCCAGATTCTGCTCAGGCTCAACTCTATCAATGGCCATGCATTGGTTATCTTTCTCCACCAACTGAACACCCTGAATCAGGCCAGTAAGACTCAAACTAATGCATGTAACTAACTGGATCATCAAAAATCAAACCAAGATATGATGAAATTATCTTGACAAACAAATGGCACAAAAGTACCAATGAAAGAATGCTGAAGTAAAAGATTTGCAACTCAAAAGGCCCTTCTCATTCATCTTGTTAAACCAAGAGAAACAGAACCACAATATACATTGACAGAACATTAATCTTACTACAGATCACAAGAATTCAAAATTCTCTGAACTAGTTTCCTCGAGTGAATAAATCCTCTCACATAAAGAATCAGAGTCCCCTCGAACCAAAACTTCCAAGGAAACAAATACATGAAGAAGACTGACGTGTTGAATCTCAGGAGATTGTCCACTACTCACACTTCCATTTTTTCCATTATTATCTTACTATGCATGTCCAGCAATGTCAAATGTTTGTCTACGACTTCTATCATCTTAATGTGAGGGAGTCCACAGCCAAGACAAACTAAGACTCTGCATTTCATTGAATGATTCTCAAGAATAACGTGCTTAGTTCTATGTATAAACATACTCAATCAGTAAGGCTATGACAAAGATTCATACATCTTTTTGGTATTATTAACCTCCTGATCTCCTTTTCTGGCTCGACCCTAATCCCATTTTTCATGTTGATATTAACAGCTCAAAAGTTTTAGGTCAATAAGTGACGGGAAAATAATATTAAAGAAATGAACTAGCTGTGCCAGCTTCCTTCTCACATATTGAGTCAAGCTCCCCGGTTCTGCCACAGGATCTACTTGATTACTGTCTTCCAAAATTGAAACACGAACTCCACAGAGATGAGCGTGAAGTTAAACGTTCTCATGTAGATGAGCAACAACAACAACCAAAACCCACATAGAAAGAATCACTCAGGGATCGAGTAACACATAGTCTACTTCTCAAGATCAAATAATCAAAGCCCCATATACAAGATTTTAACGCATAACATGAAAACAAAAAGTCTTATCTTACTTGGTGTTGTATCTTTTTAGGATCAGAACTGGTTCCAAGGGTCTTGCTCACCAATTTCCCAGACAAGCCCCCACTACTATGATAAAATCCCTACCGAGTACAGGCAAAAGAAGCATCAGGGATTGCATCAATTAGAATAATATCAATCCCTGCTAATGGCTCCACGTAAATGATAAGACAAGGTTGTAAAAAGTTCCCACTCAAAGATATTTCCCATCACTTCCTCTTATAAGCCTTTTGTACATTCACAAATGAAATGTTATTCTACAAAGAAAACAGACACTAACAGATAAGTTATTAAGTGTATTATCCCAAAGATATCACACTCTAATTGTAACTTGAAAGAATAAGAGTCCGCTAATTACCACAAGAGCCATAATATCTTTACGGGGACGGCTTCTTCTGACCCGAGAAACACATGGGACTCGTAGACCGGCAAGAGAATCCAGCCTTGTGACATAAGTTCTACTATCAAGAGAGACATTTTTGGCAGGTCTAGCACAGGATTTCGGACAATCCCATCCACAGCTTTTAGCTGGACTTATTGACCTCCCAGTACGCTCATGATGTTCAACTTCAGAAACTTCTTCGATATACCTTCTTGTAGGCTTCCGTAATCTCTTGACAGTTTTCTGCTCCTGACTTAGAACTTCTGGCTGAGAATCCTCAATAGACCCACAGTTTCTCAATCTCTTGACAGTTTTCTGCTCCTGACTTATAACTTCTGGCTGAGAATCCTCAATAGACCCACAGTTTCTCAATCTCTTTCCAGATAATTGACAATCTTCCAACTGCTTTTTCTGAGAAATGTCCGAGTCCGTGTGTTGGTCATTTATTGCCACAACATCCTGATCAGTCGCAACAGCACAATTAAAATTGTTGGATTTTTCTTCTTCACCAAGTTTCAGTATTTGGTTGTCTTTTATGACAAAACTTGTACTTGGAATATCGCAAGAGTGGATCAATCCCATGGCAATTCTTCTTTTTAGCCACGTCTTGTCTTTGACAGTAGTCACTCGCCCAAAGGTAGCTCTAAAAGTTTCATGTAGTTCTCTGATAGATAGATTATCTAGGCAGATTTTTCCTTCTAATTTCGAAAAATCAGGCACCAAGCTGGTAGCGGCACATGACGACTCACTTTCTCTTATTTGATCTGGAGAATTTGAGCATTCTGCAGCATCTACAGATTGTTTCATCTGATCGATGTCCGGACTTGGAGCTACAGGAGCAGCAGTTTCCTGCATTCGAATACCAAATAGGAGCTTCTAATCAATAACCGGTAAACTATATCCTTACAAAAATACTGTGCGCCCAATTTCAGTTTAGCCGAAAAACTATGAGCAGATCTGTAACGTAAACAGATATTCTATTCCTGTTGGTAGAAAGAGCATAGACTATAGTCAAGATACCACCAAGATGAATCCGACTACACCTACTCGGAAAAACAGGGGTTGTCACACATTCAGAAAAATACGCTTCACAAGCCAAGCCACAGATACTAGACCCCACCCAAGGAGAGTTCTACATTTATATGCTGTCAAGAAAATAATTATCATCCTACAAGGACAGAAACTGTATTTTGCTCAACGAGCACAATGAGATTATAGTAAGAAACTCAATGGTGCCCTAAACTTGCAAACAATCACATTGAGTATCATAGAGCCGTACTTAAATTACCATTCCGGCTTTAACATCGACCATTTGCTGTGAAGGAGAGAAAACTAGTAGCAGGAATCACACACTTTAAAATGGAACTAGAGGAATATAACATAAGGGAAAATATGATGATCATTAACCATATCAAATAACTAGTAGCATACTTTTGGAGGATGCGCAAAAAACTACTAATGTATTAAAGTGACTCAGTAGTATTACACTGCTCCCCCCCAGTCTCTGATCATGCAATCTGTAATAAAAAAAAAAAAAATCAAACGAATCAGTACCTGAATTGGTGCTTCCAAATTCTCTGCATCAGCATACACATCCTCAAGCTTGGAAAAACCTGGGAAAACAACCTGTGAGATGGAATAGAACAAACTACACATGCTACAAACATTATGTTCTGCTATTAGTATCTGATCATGTCTAACTAGAACTCTGACGAGGATGTTAACTATCCAGTAAGTCACAGAAGCCCACATTAAGAATAAACCACCGCAATTAAGAAAGAAAGTCACATGCCATTCTAAACTTCAGGTTTAGGAAATAAGCAAAAGAACTTACTGATACTACTCTGAATGGAAAAGACAACAAATGAAATGTGAAATTCTTTTTATTTGCTGAGAATTATGACATCATAAATGCCAAACCAAAAACAAGGAGAAAAGCAAGAAGGTCGAATGAAGCTTCCCAGATTCAGTGAAACTGACTAATTCAATGCACAATGAGTACACAGGGAAGAAACGGATGAAGGGAGTTACAAACAGATATTCAGGCACTAGACACACAGCTTTTCTTTTTTAAATCATGCAGAGCATAATCATTTTTTAATGTATTTTCATGAGCTACGAAGAAGCAATGGGGTTTTGATGCCAGAAAGGTCTTCGACACTGTGTTGACTGTGCTGGTGGTGAAGACAGTATCAACAAATGGCTACAAACCTGAAATCTCTGACAGAGATTTGCCGGATGAAGAATCCTCAATGGAAATTCCCATTGCCTGCCCAGGCTCTGGAACAATATGCATTTCGTTGGTGTCATCTTTAAGCAGATCCACAACCTCCATGATTTCATCATCTGTTGCAGGCACTAGTCTCCCATCACCTTCCACCTAAGATCAAGTAAACTAATGATAAGAATGAACTGAAAGAAAGGATAATTCGGCAATGCAGTAGAGAAACGAAAATCTTTGCAAAAGATATGGTGCGAGCTACACAACACGATACCCAATGCGAGGTAATCTTGTTCCACCTCCTGTCTTCCATCAAAAGGAATCGCTTCATGGACAAAGAAAACCAAATATACTTCGTAGAGGTCACCAGCGTGCCTACCATTGGATAATTTGCCTATAAAAGTATGATGTATGATCGGGATTGCTACTAAAATTATCCCAATTTGAACAACTTCCCACAGTTTCTGATTAATCTCATCGCTTATGCTATTTTAAGTTTGTGCAGAACCAGATTGATTTTCTTCATTCAATTCCTGAAACGAAGTCCTATGAAACTTTCCAAAGGTCAGGTTAGGCATATCCTTGATCAGATACTTGACAACCAGTAAAGATAATAAGGTTGAAGCAGAAGAAGTTTTGCTGCGCAAGATAAACAACGGAAAGAAAAGTAAAACCTTAAATATCCAAATTTAATGACCCAGTCAGAAAATTCAATTTGTTAGTTTCCTGGTTGAGTTTGGTTTGAACAGAAGAAAAAGAATTCTTTTAATTCAATATTGACGTGCCAACCGATGACTCCATATGGCATCTTTATTTCATGTTCAAATCTATAATCGACAATATGTGGATTATAGTTCACAAAGATATGGCAGAAAAAGTATTTCGAAAGCAAATGAAAAGCGAAGCAAACTAAACTTACATTCCAGTCAATTTTGTTTGTTGGTTTCTCAACTTCTGTCTAATGTGGTTCTGGTTTGATTATTCCTCTAAACAAAAATGGGGTGCACAACCCTCACTGGTCAGTATTGGCAGATCAGAGAAACTGTTGGCAATTACCACCACTATAACCCAAATATGATGATGGTTTTATCCTTAGTATACCGGTCGTGAATGGTAGTAACAAAATTTGATTCCAAATGACCAAGCATCCATTCAAATGTCTTCTTCGAATGCATCAATTATGACAGCCATTCGCTCCTCTAGTTTAGGAATCAAGACACCAAATTCTGAGCATATAATTGCTACCTTTCTCATGGAAATGTCAGTCGAGATATTTAACTGCACTAGATTAGCCTTCTAAATCAACTATACCAATTTCCATTCACTAATACGATAAACTTTAACCCGAAAAGGGACGGTAAACATTAATCTAAGATAACAGCCATAGATAACAATTTCAGCCAAAAATAAAAGCAAATAAGAGACCGGCTTTGCTACATTGAATTATATTTTATTTTTATGGATTACAAAAATTGATCAAAGGTCATTACTTTGGCATCCCAATCTACTTCGGCAGACTTGGAATGTCTTCTAAGAGTTGATAAGTTTAGCCAATTACCGCATTGAGATGGCCTATACCCCTAGCACAGCGTGTCTGTGACTCTACTTAGCATTTCCATCTAAGACATCCGAGAGAGTACCAGACAGTGTAACACTACCGCAGGCGTTCAACATAATAACATTGGTCGAATGATCAAACACAAGGACCCAAACACCAAGTGCAGCCACAAATATGATAACTTGTTGAAAAATATCTGATACGAGGATGGCCAGGAGATCAATTACCCGGACGAGCTTATAGACGACTGGGTCCGAAATCTGCTTTGTGGGGGAAGTCGAGGGGGAGATCTTCCCAACCCCACCATCCTCGAACATGGCTTCATCAACCCCCTCAGCTCCGGCCACTGTTTCCATGGAAAATCCACCACATGCAACTCAAATACACTAACTGGAAGCTCAGAAAATTACCAAAAGAAGAAAAAGTAAGAACATTTCCCCCTCAAAGTTCGCAAATTTAAGACATAAACGTAGCTATCGAAACCATCCTTCCTCTACCGAACACAGAAAAATCACTCCCACGCATCAAACTCATTCAATCCGGCCCCCGATCATCAAATTCAAGCAATCGCAACACAACCAATTACCAACGCCCTAAGGAAAGACGCATTCCCCCCCATTCGACAGATAAAGGAAGACAAGACATGCACGGGCCTCCTCGCACGCATTGCGAGATCAAGAATCCGGAATACAAAACCAACTCAATCCAGATAAGGCGAAACCGGGAACCCCCACCCGCGCGAAGCACCAAACCCCAAAACCAGAGCACTCGCCGGTTTCCAATCGGACTGAGAAGCGACCGACATTCCAATCGCGGGGAGCCCAAGAGAGCTCCGGCACTCACCATGGGAGGGACCGGCGCCGCTGCGGCGGCCGACCGAGCTCGACCCAGCCACCGGAGACCGAAGGTAAGGTAAGGTAAGGAAGGAAGGAAACCCCGCCGGCAGCAACCGGGTCGGTGGCAAGACTTGATCGACAAGGAAATGGAATTTGCCGGGAGATATGTCGCGACCCCTTTTTTGGCTTCCTCCTCTTCTTCTTCTTCTTCTTCTTCGCTGCTGTTTCGGGCTCTTTTTCCTCTATTTTTTTCCTCTTTTTTTTTTTTGGGGTTTTTTTTGGGTTGGGTTCTTGCTTTTGTAGTACGCAGAGTGTGAGAGTCCACACTCCGCGGACTCCAAAGCGCCTCTGAGCTGCAGTTTAACGGGCTCCCGTTTGAAATCCGCGTTTGGTGGGTGCGGGGTTGACTTGTACGGGCTGCCAGGTCAACGGTCGGTTCCTCTTCATCTCTAACGAGCTTCGGATGGTTCGATGATGGATCGAGCGATCCGAACCGCCGGCTAGAACTGTCGTCCCGTCCGTCCGTGGCGGACCGAGTAGGTGTCGTTAGCAATGCTTTTGCTTTTGGTAATGCCGTGCCCGCAAAAGAGAAGTTATTGCGTGGACCGGATGCATGCGCTTTCTAGTATTGATGCCAAGAGTGGATAAAGGAAGGAGTCAATTGCGAATTTTCCGATAGATAAGATTAGGGAAACCATACAAGGTTTTTTCCTTCCGGGTACGATGCTAAACTAAGAGGTGCGGATCAAAGCTAAGAGACGCGAGAAACAAGTTCAGCAGAACCAGAGAAAAAGGAAGGAAACAGGGGCTGTTAATTGAATTTAGCTCTAGAAATAGCCATTTTGGCCATCAGTTCAACTGCTGTTGTGAATGCAGCAGAGCTCATACAACCCATTCCGCAATTTAAAACCCGAAATGGCCTGCCGCCCTAGACCGTGCTAAAAGTTGAGCTCTTCCCATCCGCGGGAGGATGTCGCCTTGCAGAGCACGCGGTCTCGTCGGTGGACTTACTCCGCCTGCGAATCGGTCTTCGAATGTCACCCACCCCCTCGGCACACGGACCCTCCGATTCTCTGTTCATAGTAAGCTGCGAGAAGCAACAAACGCAGTTAATGTTCATTGTCGTGTTTCTGCAGCAGAAAGCGGGTGTACGGTTAACAACATAGTAGTAACTGATGGCGGATGCAGAGAGACTGAGAAATTTCCGGCAAAGTATCCACCGGAAAATTGAAACACGAAAAGAATTTAAAAGGGTCATTATTGGGCAAATCATCAAAGTTCCAGCGTCTCCAAAGACTTTAAAAGGGTCATTTGTGACCGATTATCAGCACAAAAAGATTCTGTTGGCCGGAAAACAGCAACGGGTTCTCAATTACCCTTTAAATAATCAAAGGGATCAAAGCCCGTGCTCGAGCAAAATTCACTGAACCGATCATTGCGTTCGTGGTAAAACGATGATCGGGATGCACGGGGACGATGTAGGAGAAACCGAACTCCGAGAACTGAATGAGCCGTTCAGAGAGACTAACTAACTCCATCGAATCAATATGAGCATTCTTTGAGATCCCCTCAACCATTGTCATTAGGGAAAAGAAGACTTGTATCATGAATGCTAAGGACTAATAAACTTCTCATAAAAGAAACACCATTTCAGATCACCAAAAAGAAGAAAACATGATGACGTTCACCTTTAACACCTTCACAAATTATAGATCTTCAGCTTAGATCCATGTTAGAAGCAACATCAAGACCCCGACATCTTGCATGAATTCGCCTGACTAAAGTTCATCTTCCGCTTACAGACTATAAAGAATACAGATCCTCATTCATCAATGGATCTGTCTTCTACAGTTGCAGGGAAGCAAAGTCTCCAAACTACACAGATCAACGATCCGTTCTTGCTTTCCTTGTTCCACCGAATTTCCACCGGTCACACGCACAAGCAATCAAAAACACGAGTAGAAAAACAAGAAAGAAAGCAGCAGCAGCATCGATCTATAGTTCCAATTCGATGGAACTAAAACAAAAACGAAATGATACGAATAAACGCAACGGGGACCATGATAAAACTCGAGATCGAGCTGTACTCACCCATCGCAGCGACAAACCGACCGAGAGAGCAACTACAGGCGCGAGGCCATGGTTAAGGAGCTCGAGAGGATTGGGATGGAAACAGTGAGACTTTGTGGTGGAAATTGGAAGGTGGGGACACGATCTGCCGGCAAGAATCCAATGAGAAGCAACTGAACAGGATCTACGAGGTTCGCGCGGCCGAAGGACACTTCGGTCCGGTTCGAACCGTTTCGGAGAAAAAAAGGATTAATCAACAACAATTTAAGGCTACGTATTTTTGTTGACGGTGAAATTTTTTTCGATTATTCATTTGTGTAATCAATATAACCGATCATTATTCTAGCAAATATTTTTTAAATTATTCATTTTTGCGAATCAAACGAAGCGTGGAGTCGTGAATCCAATCGATTTGAATTATGGTATAGAGTCGGAGCGAACAAGTCTTTTTTCTTTAAGTAGAATATATTTTGTGTCGCACATCACGATAATGTCATATGACAGGGATTTGTGAAAAAGCAAGCCCAAAGAAAAATACCGATTGGGAAGCATGCCATCCGGTAATGTGATCGATCGAATTATGCCAAGTCAATGATACACATTATATTTAAAAGTACTTTCTCCTAAGAACGGATCATACTTCGAAATAAGATCTTTGGTATCTTCAATTCATGTGAAAGCATCGCTTATATGAATCCGCTCGGGATAATCACAATAAAATAACTACTCTCGCACTTTAAGTATTATGTACATAACTTTGAATGATTTAAAAATACCGGCGTTTACGTACTTTCTAACGATTTAGAGCGTTTAGTAATAAACAAAATCAAATCCGAGATATCAACAGTGAAAGCCAAAGATGTTCAAAGGAAGAGTCACTTCATATGTGCAAAAAATGGGAATTGTTTGAGAATTAAGATGAGACATATTATTCTGTATTAACCATTTTATATAGACGTTGGTAAACAAAAAAGTGACTAATAAGTTTCTTGTTTTTAGTAAAAATGTGAGGTAAGTTACCGGCTCTTGTGTTGTTTTTGTCAACTTTTATTTGATTGTTTATAAATTACAAAGAACTTAATAATTTATCGACTTCTTTTGCATAACTTCCCAAAGCGTCGAAATTATCTAACTTTTATATGAAATTATCGATCCTAATTTGAGCGAGTTATATGATTCTTCTTTAATTAAGTCGCAACTAATTATAGATTATCATACCTAACTTGAGCTACTTGCGAATGTATTGGAAAGGCAGCTGTGATATGCTTTTATTTAGGCCGTTTACTTAGGAAGTTTTGTGTGCACATCTTTTATTACTTTTTATTGTGTGATCCTTGTATTTTTAGTAGTTTAGCCTAATTAGGAGTTTGTTTGATAGCCGTATCTTCTTGTATATATGTTACGTTTCTGTGGCAATGAAGAACAGAATTCTCATTCCAAAATTCCTCAGTTCTTTTACATGGTATTAGAGCCATGGCTTATGGAAAAAAAGATGAGGAGAGTTCTGGAGCGGACAAGAAAACCTTTAGTCCTTACACATTGAATTCGAATGACAACCCGGGTAACCTGATTACCCAAGTTCAGTTGAAGGGCGAGAATTATGAAGAATGGGCGCGAGCTATGCGGACTGCATTACGAACCAAGAAGAAATATGGTTTTATTGATGGATCTGTCAAGCAACCAGCAGATGATTCACTGGAACTTGAAGATTGGTGGACGGTTAATTCCATGTTGGTTTCTTGGGTGTTTAATACCATTGAACCGACACTTCGCTCGACTATCTCTCACATGGAGAATGTGAAAGATCTGTGGGAGGATATCAAGCAGAGATTTTCGATTGGGAATGGTCCACGGATGCAGCAACTAAGATCGGATTTGGCCAATTGTAGGCAAGATGGTCAACCCATCGTGTCCTATTTCGGTAAACTCAAAACCTTGTGGGATGAAATAAATAACTATGATCAGATACCAGTGTGTGTTTGTACAGGTTGCAGATGCGATCTTACCATTGTATTGGAAAGAAAGCGTGAAGAAGAGAGAGTTCATCAGTTTTTGATGGGCTTAGATGAAGAAGGATATGGAACAGTGCGCGCTCATATTTTGAGCACTGAACCTTTGCCTAATCTGAATCGTGTCTATGCTATGGTTGTTCAGCAAGAGCGAGTGCGAACTATGACACGAACCAAGGATGAAAGAGGCAATCCCATGAGTTTTGCAATCCGGACAGGTGGTCAAAATTCAAGGGGGGATAAAGATAAAATCCCGTTTTGTTCTAATTGCAACCGAGAGGGACATGATGCTGAAAGTTGTTTCCAGCTGATAGGATATCCAGAATGGTGGGGCAATAGACCACGTGGAACCTTTGCTGGACAAGGTAGTGGTCAAAAGTGTGGTAATAGAGATGGACGAAACAAGGGAGGAGGTGCTCGTGCCAACGTCTCACAGGCAACTGGAGTTGATGGTGGGCGAGGAGTTGTGACGGATTCAGATCGAAAGGGTCTTAGTGGATTGAATGATGAGCAGTGGGCGACTTTGCTAGGAATGTTAAGTTCTCATTAGAATGGTGCCCATGAGAGGTTGATAGGTAAGCAGAGTATTTTTCCTTGGATTATTGACACGGGAGCTTCCCACCATATGACAGGAACGTTGGCATTTTTGAGAGAATTGCGTGACATTATACCATGCTCAGTCGAATTACCTGATGGAGAAAAGACCATGGCAGTGAAAGAAGGAACTGTGTTGCTTGGAGGAGACTTGAAATTGCGACGAGTTCTTTTTGTGCCCAATTTGAAATGCAATCTGATTTCTGTATCACAACTTCTTAATGATTCAAATTTGGTTATCCAACTCACTAACAAAATATGTGCTATACATGACCTAAATTCGAGGAACCTGACTGGAGCGGGTGAGCAACGCGAGGGGCTTTACTTTCTCAAGGGAGTGACTTCGGTACATGCTTGCAAGGTAGATGATATGGAATCCTTTGAACTTTGGCATAAAAGAATGGGTCATCCTTCTTCTAAGGTGGTGGAGTTAATTCCAGAAGCTGGCAAAATGGTTAGGAAAACCAATAAAACTTGTGAGGTTTGTTTTAGAGCAAAACAAACAAGAGAGATCTTCTTTTCTAGTGACAATAAAGCTAAAGATTGTTTTGAATTGATGCATTGTGATTTGTGGGGACCTTATAGAGTCCCAGCTTCATGTGGAGCAATTTATTTCTTGACAATTGTTGATGATTACTCTCGTACTGTGTGGATATATTTGCTGAATGGAAAAAATGAAGTGGCCTGTGTTCTTAGGAAATTTGTTGCGATGGTTAAATGCCAATTTGAGAAAAATGTGAAAATCGTTAGAAGTGATAACGGAAGTGAATTTTTGTGTTTGAAAGAATATTTTGATGAACATGGGATATTGCATCAAACTTCTTGTGTTGGAACACCTCAACAAAATGGCCGAGTGGAAAGAAAGCATCGCCGTATCCTTAATGTTGCAAGAGCTTTGCGTTTCCAAGCAAATTTACCCATAGAATTTTGGGGAGAATGTGTACTTGCAGCTGGGTATTTGATTAACAGGACTCCATCTATATTGTTGAATGGTAAAACCCCATATGAGATTATCTTTGGCCAACCTCCTTCTTACAAATATATTCGGATTTTTGGTTGTTTGTGCTATGCGCATAATCAGAATCGGGATAAAGATAAATTTGCTAGTAGAAGTCGTCGGTGTATTTTTGTTGGTTATCCGTTGGGAAAGAAAGGGTGGAGATTGTATGATTTAGAAGCTGATGAATACTTTGTATCAAGAGATGTAGTGTTTGCTGAAACGGAATTTCCATATCCTGATGAGAAAACAGTAAGTGATGAACTCATTAAAAATAGAGTTATGGAGTTGGGTGATGAAGTTGATGATTTAAAAAGTGACTTGAGGGAGGAATTGATCCACACAAACAATGAGGACGTGGAAAGAAGTGAAGTCATCGCCGAAAGTGTAGATAGAGAAAATGAAGTGAATCATGAAATGGAGGAATTGATCCACACAAACAATGAGGACGTGGAAAGAAGTGAAGTCGTCGAAGAGCAGCTAGGCAGGGGACAAAGGGTCAAGCAACCTTCTATTCGTTTGAAAGATTATGTGACAAACGCCATCAGAATAAGCCCCTCGACATTGTCATCTACCCAATCTGATTCCTCAGGTACGCCTTATTCTATAGCACGTTATGTGAGTTATGAAAAATTTTCTGCGCAACACCGGTGTTTCTTGGCAGCAATTACTGCAGGACATGAACCAAACTCTTATGCGGAAGCGATTAAAGATGAACGGTGGAGAGAGGCCATGAGTAAAGAAATACAGGCTTTAGAAGATAATGGCACATGGACAGTCGAAAATTTGCCGCCTGGAAAGAAAGCAATTGGGAGCAAGTGGGTGTATAAAATTAAGTACAATTCTGATAGAAGTGTTGAACGATACAAGGCGCGATTGGTGATACTGGGAAATAATCAAGTTGAAGGCATAGATTATCAGGAGACTTTTGCTCCTACGGCAAAAATGTGCACTGTACGCACCTTTCTTGCCATTGCGGCTGCAAAGAATTGGGAACTTCATCAGATGGACGTTCAAAATGCTTTCTTACATGGCGATTTAGAGGAAGAGGTTTACATGAAGATGCCACCTGGCTTTGCCTCTCAATCATCAGGGAAGGTATGCAGACTCCGGAAATCTCTATACGGTTTGCGGCAAGCACCTAGATGTTGGTTTGCGAATTTGGCTACATCTTTGAAAGCTTATGGATTTCAACAATCATATTCAGATTACTCCTTGTTCACTTTTCGAGTTGGGACTGTTCAATTGAATGTGCTTATTTATGTTGATGATCTCATTATCTCCGGTAATGATATTTCCGCTGTGCAAAAGTTCAAGAACTATTTGAGTCGTTGTTTTCATATGAAAGACTTGGGGAAGCTGAAATTTTCCTTGGGGATTGAAGTGGCGAGAAACTCGGATGGTATTTTCTTGTGTCAACGTAAGTATGCGTTGGATGTGATTTCTGAGGTCGGATTACTGGGTTCCAAGCCGGCTAAAACTCCTCTTGAACAAAATCACAAGCTAGCCCTTACTGAGAGCGATGATGTAGACAACCCTGCTCAGTATAGGCGCCTAGTGGGTCGGCTTATTTATCTAACAATAACTCGACTTGAATTGTCTTACTGTGTGCATATTCTTGCACAGTTCATGCAGCGGCCAAA